CAATATCACCATTCATGAGAGGGAAATGCAACAATACGTGTAAAATGCCAGCCAGTCCATGAGCAGCACCCCAATACCTCGTTCCATGCCATCTATACATGAGCGGGCAGGACGTATTATCAGATGCACCAGCCCTTCCCCCTGCTAGCACGGCTTCAACAACAGGCATTAGAAGATCACTTGGCACAACTTCAGCTCCTAAGTACTTATTTATAAACAAAGCAGCCCACAAGAAGCCGGCCCGTCCAAAAAGGAGATCGTAAGACATTCCCAACCCTCCTTCTTCTGGTCCAACCGGGAGGGCTTTTTCTTCCGCCATCTAAACAATGACGATTATGTAAGTGCATAAAAATGACACGTTTAAAAGGTACAGAAAGCTACAAAGTTCTAAAATGGAAGCTTAGTACATAGATTTGTGTTTTAGACTGTAATGCTATATAGGTGTTAGAAGATATATAAATATCAGTCGGGACATTTTCTTGCATTTCATTCATTCATAACACGCACAATCATGTTCCAATTGAGCTCCAATTCCATCTTAACAAACAATACTCACCGACTGAAAAAAGAATAATAAAAAAGATTATATATGGACAATTTTAAATATCTTAAGGGATGAACATCAACGAGCAAATAATCCCTAAACACCGAAGGAAACAATTTTCCCAAGTAGATTGGAGATTTTCCATATTCAAATAGTCAAACCAAAGATATGGAATAACTTCTAATGCGTGTCCTCATAGCTTTAAGTTGAGTGACAATTTCACATAAATGGTTAAGCAATGTAAGGCTCGGCATACAATGGTGTCTACGACCAAAGATTATACAAACTCAAAAGAATTTAAAAAAATCATCAAATATCTTACCACAATCTTAACAAATTTAACAAAACATCCTAGGTTAGTCTAGTGACATTGCACATCTCTGATAATTAGATATTGTATCCACTTTTTTGTCCTTATATGACATAAAAAAAAAAGACCACGAATATCATTGACACTTGATGGCCCAAGGAATGGATGAAGACGTGAACATTCAATAAGATGTATGTATCTGTCTTTTCTTATCAATAGGCCGGCCATGTGGAATAAATTCATAATATATGATAGACAAAATCGACAGATGGTATACCTCCAGAAAACGTGTGACATAGAAGTCACGTTTCATTAGGTCCCCGCAATAATTTGCAGCCACAGCACCAAGAGCATAGACCCCTCCTCGACCACAAAGAAAAGTCACATGCCTGAATATGCCATAGAAAAGTCTGAGATAATTGTAATATAATTGACAACAATTTATGCAACCAACATCACAAATATGCACATCATTTTATCAGGTAGTATGTCACTTCAAACAGACAGAGCTGGAAAAAAGGAAATTAAGCCCCTATTTGCTAGAAATTAAAATCAAGATTTTAATTCAAGTCAAAGTCAACAATTAATTTTAATCACGCATTTTATGGGACCCACAACTTTTCAACCACACATTTCATCAACTTATATCAAAATCCACTAAAAATCTGATTTTAATTCCCACCAAACGATGGCTAAATCTATTTATGTACAAGTTAGTCTACTACGCTGGGAAAAGAGGAAGAAAAATCCCAAAAATATCCAAATACGATATTTGGCTAAGCTTACAAAGTTCACTTATAAGTATATAAGTAATGTATGAAATAGATAAATTCTTTTATATTTCAAAACTGAAAATAAGTTCCTTATTTTGACACTATGCTAAGAATTACTTCCAAAATAAGTAACAGTTTTACTTTTTAAAATTTAAACTTACACAAACAGGTTTGGAAGTAAAAAGTTGATTAAAAATAACTTTTACTCATTTTGAAGCTTAGCTAAACATGCCTGAACTGAAGGAAAATATCAAACATTAGAGAGCAACTTGAATTTATATTTCTTTTTGTTCCAATAAATGACAAATTAGTTTCCATTTGAAACAGGGAAATAAGAAGAATATCTGATCTTTGGTTGAATTAAGAAAGATACAGAGGGTGGTCCCAAAAATAAGACCACATGAATGAATGGATCTTAAGAGCCCAACATTACATTCTCTCAATTCTTTTACTTCTTAAACCATATTTTGTACTTCTCCGAGTCAAATGTCTTGTTTTGGTGGAGTAAAGTGCTTACTCTCTTTTCTTCCTCTCAAATCGAGCCCAGACGAAGCCTAAACTATATCATCAACTAGGTCATGTGTGCACAACTTTCATAAAAGTAGAAGATAAAATCTTAAACTCGAGACCTTTGCCTGACCATTCGACGAACTTATTTTATTTAAATTTAGTGCTTATTTGGTAGGGATTTTTGGGGGAAGAATTGATTTTTGAATAGTAATATGATGGGAAATGTGTGGTTGAAAAAGAAGAAAAAAGTATTGATGTGATGGAAAATATTATTTTATTGAAAAATGTGTGGTTGAAAATGAGAATTGATTTACTGTAGAAAATGAGAAGTT